TGCGAATGCCCTCTTGCATCATGCACCCAGATCGGCCGGAACGGGCCGAGCACCATCACAGGCCCCCCGTATTATGACGCCCGCCGCAGATAACATACTATCGCCTTCAAGGTCATTGCTCCCGAGAGCGCCCGAGACCTGAAACAGGTAAATGATTATCCATACATCTGTTTCTGCGCTGTCTTGGATATGAGCTCAAACTTGCTCACCTCGGTACGCACAAAACCTCCACTGCCAAAGTCCCAACAACTAGCCCGTCACTCGCCTTGGCCCAGCCTTTGCATGTCCACGTACATGCGTATTATCGCCAGGTACAATACATGAATCAAACACATGGCCATGCCGCCCGCCTCGCAGCCCAGTCGAAACTAGCCCCTCACAGCCCTCACCGGCCGAAATTCAACCAAAAATCTCTCCTCCTCCACATCATACACATGTTCCGGCAGCTCAGTTGTCAAGAAGGCCTCGGCCAGCTCCTCCATCCACATCTGCAGCTCGCCCTCCTCCCAGCTCTCCGTCTCGTCCAGCGGATCCCTCACACACATCCTCACCACGTCCTCCGTCTCCCTCACCAGCTCCCACACGGGCTGGATCTCGGCCGCAATCCGCTCCTCCCTTTCCCCCGTCACGGGGTCAACACCCGTATCCGTGCCGTCGTCGTCCGTCGCCCCCGCCGCCAGCAGCCGCCTCCTCGGAACCCTCTTGGTCCGCGAGTACTTGAGGTCCGGCAGGCCCCCCCACACCGAGCTCAGCACCTCGAGGCTCGTGAACCACTGCATCAGGTAATTCCCCAGCTCGTTGAAGCTGTAGTACGCCGTAAACGCGGGAAGCGCCAGGTGTCGCACCTTTGCCGCCATCTCCTCGACGCCCTGCGAGTCCCACGGCAGCTCGCAAAACTCCTCCCACTTTTCCCTGGAGACGTAGAGCGCGTCACGCGCGGGATCCCACGGCCGGGAAAACACGTGGCCCCTTGTTTCTTTCCGGAAGCCAAGGGAGATGCCGTGCATGCGCGCCCACGACATGGTCACCGCGCGCGCCTCCGCGTTGACGTGGACCAGCGCCGGCGTCTTGACCTGCACGCGTGGCTCGTGGGATATCCCCGCGTATCGCTCGTCCTCGCCCTCGGGGTCGAGGTAGCGCAGGACGAGGTTCTTGTTATACAGATACACGGCGGGCGCGTCCAGGGGACTCAGGTACTCCACGTATATCTGGCGCCGGAGCTCGGCGGGAAGGCGCGCGAACCGGTGGAAGGTCGTGGCCGCCATGGAGTGAAGACGCGTTAAGCGAAGAACTGCCCCCCTCGTGACGTGAACCGCGAAACTCGGCCAAACGCTGGGCGCCAATTGCCCGCACCCTCCCCGCTATCAATGCGACTGTAGCAATGCTAGTAGGTGAAGAATGAAATTCCTTGCACTTGTAGAATCGTGACGAGGGGTGACGAAAGGGAAAGGACGCGGATGCCGGGTGGAAGGTTGGTATCCAAGTTGCAGGATTTAGTCTCCAGCCCTGCGGCAAGGATAAACAATACCAGACGCCACACCCACTTCTCGTATCGTCACTACGTACTAGGTACACGCGCAAGCTCCGCATCACTCTTCGCCAGGGCAATTCCGTCTAGACTTGAAATCATGATACCAAGGTGCAACCTATATTCTCAAACAACGGCATAAACTTTGGCTGTTGACTTCCCGTCCATCATTCCAGGAATCAAGCCATCATTACTCCGTATACTCAACTCTATCAGTGATGAAGAAAATTGCTATTGGTACAATTCATACACAAAATGAAATGCACTCCTTCCACATGCATTCCCCCACATCTCCCATTTTTATTCTCAAGTAGTCACCCATTTCCAACACATGCTACTTTTTTTTTTTTTTTCCTTTTTTCCCCCTTTACAGCTGAGCCTGGAGAACCTTCTCCTGAGTGTCCGACAGGGCCCAGTCGCTAGAGGCAGACTTGCTACGAACAGCAGAAGCCTGCTCCTTGGTGAAGCCCTTGGCTTCAACTGCCGGGTTGTAGCCGAGGCCGTTGGCCTTGCCGACGGCTGCATTGTCCAACTCTGGAGCAGCCTTGCCATCCGCACGGCGATAGACGGTCACGACAACGGCACCACCGAGGCCCAGGTTGTGCTGCAGGCAGTACTTGGTGTTGGGAGCTGCGCGGTTGTTGGCCCATCCACGCAGATGCCAGACAAGCTCGGCACACTGAGCAATACCCGTGGCGCCCAGAGGATGGCCCTTGGAGATGAGACCGCCAGAGGGGTTGATGACGTACTTGCCGCCGTAGGTGATGTCGCCCCGGCGGACGAGCTCGTGAGCCTTGCCCTTCTCACTAAGACCGAGGGCATCAATGACAACCATCTCGTTGGCGCTGAAGCAGTCGTGTAGCTCGACTACCTGCACGTCTTTGGGGGTGATGCCGGCCTCGCCCATGGCAGTCTTTACAGCGTGCTGGGTCATCTCATAGCCCATCAGGTCGATGGAGCTGCGGGAAAACAGGCTGGGAGCATCGGTGGCCAGGCACTGCCCAGCAACCTCGACGGCCTGAGCCTTGAGGTGGGGTCGGGCATCGAGGAACTCCTGAGAGACGAGGATGGCAGCAGCGCCCCCATCAGAGGTAGGGCAGCACTGAAGCTTGGTGAGAGGGTCGAAGATCTTGGGTGCCTGCATGATCTGGTCGAGGGTGTAGACCTGCTGGAACTGCGAGTAAGGATTCTTGGGAGAGTGGGCGTGGTTGACACGGGCAATCTCAGCAAAGTCCTCGGGTTTGGCACCATACTTCTCCATGTACTCACGGCCAGCGTTGCCGAACATCTGAGCTGCGCCAGGGGCAGGTTCGAATCCCCGGGTCTCAACCATCATGTTGACAGTGGTGCCGATGGGGTTCTCGCGGTCGTTCCAGAAGCTCTGCAAGCTGCCAGCCATCATCTTCTCGAAACCCACAACCATGACACAGTTGGCAGCACCGCTCGCGATGAAGGTACGGGCCATGGCCAGACCAGTGCTGCCAGTGGAGCAGTTGTTGTTTACGTTGTAGACGGGAATCTTGGTCATGCCGAATTGGTAAAAGACGCGCTGACCGCAGGTACTGTCGCCGTAGCAGTAGCAGGCGACGCCTTGGTCGACATCGTCGTAGTTGATCTGAGCATCGAGCAGGGCCTTTATCCCAGCTTCGAAGCCGAGCTCAGTGTAGTCAACCAGGCCTCGAGGCTTGATGAACTTGGTCATGCCCACGCCCAGGACGTAGACGGGCGACTTTTGCTTGGCAGGCATTTTGATGAGTAGTTATAGTGTGTGTGTGTGTATTGTAGATATGTGTATTTGTCCAAGAGGCAAAGGGAAAAAAAGGGCGAGTGGTCTCGGAGTGTCGGCAATAGTGGCAAGTTGGGAGAGATCACTTGGACGACGATCGACAATGTGACAGATTGAGGGAAGAAGAGTAAAATAAAACGTTGCACAAGTTGAAGCCAGGAAAAAGTAAACTGCCAAATTAAAGAACTATAATGAAGCCACCGAACGGGTGAGTGAGGTTTCTATTTATGGGGCGGGTGATGGATGTCACGGCTTTGCATGTGGAAGAGGCACGTCTGGAGTCTGAAGGGCCCCTGGCGCGGAATTCGGGCATTGAATGCGGGGAGCCGAGCGCTGGATCAACCATGTGTGCAGGAGCATCCGCTATGATTGCCTAACTTGGCCTCCGGCAGAAGCGGCGGGCACTCTGCCCACAAGTTGAGACTCCCGTATCCATTCGCCTGCGACAGCAGTCCATGGGAAGGGCAAGTGCCGAGGTCAATTGTGCGGCGACAAGAAGGCTGACACTCCACCGTGAATGAGCCTGGGGCGTTCGCCCACTCTGCGATTCAACGTCCAACTCCTGACACCAGACACTAAACTGACTTGGATCTTGCCTCATCCCTCCAGTCGGTAGCCGAGGCTTGGAGTCCCCAAAGGCGGGGGAGGCTCTGGCCACTCCCGTAGTAACCGAGCACACAGCTGAGTCAGCAGCCCTTCTCACCCATTCCACCGCCGCCGCCGCCGGACCCTCGGACAAACGCCCTCGGTGGTGCATGCCGCCTGCCTCTCCATGGCACCTACTACACCGAGACTGACAAACTAATTAGCATAATCGCATCTCTGTATTAAATCGAGTCAGATCATGATTCTTTAAAAAAAAAAAAAAAAAAAGACACAGAGAGAGAGAGAAGAAGAAGAAGAAGAAGAATAAGGGAAAGGAAAAGGAAAAGGAAAGAAGAAAAAAACAAAGAAAGAGCCGCTAATAACTAACTTGCATCCTCACTTTTTCCAAATCACTAACCCCTCCATCTACTAGTTCTCCGGCGCATCAACGCCCTCGGAGGCGCCCCACATCCGGCGCCGTCCGTGTCATGAACACGGCCGAGATTGTACGGCTCCGAACATAACCTGCATGTCGGCCGGGTCGTACCATAGAGTGGGCTCCCGTTTATGTTGGCCCGCGCGGCGACGTGATGAGGATTTGCCGCAAGAACTGCAAAAATAGGCAGAGAACATGCAAGACAAGATCAGCCACTACTGGAATTTATCTGGTGACAAAGAATATGCTTTCCAGTCATACGAATGACTTCTGGTATAGATTTATCGTGTCGCCTAACATGATCTATGATGGCTTCCCGCCCCGAGCTGCTGCTCGTTTACTTCCTCACCCAACAAGTATTTGGACAGATCAGCGCCATGGTACGCCGTGCAACCATGTTCCAAAACACCTCTTACTCCACCTACCCGCATATCAGGTTGGATATGGCCAATCTCCGCGTCATAACCAGAAGAACAATGCATGAATGGCTACACTCATTGTCCCAGATCTCAAAAGCAAAAATCCTGCCACCCCCTAATCAAAAGAACTCCCAGTGCTGCTAAAAAATGTGCATATACCAAGCACAACAAGTCGCAAAAACGCCGTAAGCTCATAAATTTCGCTCAGCGAGATTCTCTCATCTAAAAAGCCAAAGTTCTCTTGCATCATTCCCATCCATTCCATAAAACCCAGCTCGCAACATTGTTAGCCGACCCTCCTGAGCCCACACTGTTGGCGTATCCGTAGGTCATTTGGCCGTGCAGGTATGAATCTGTGCCGTATTGATCGGTAGAAACAGCCCGAAACTTTTCCTGTGTTATGTTTGACGATCTTAGACAACTGTCGAATACGGCATACAGATTCCGTGTCACCTCTTGAACGTTAGGTTCCGCAGTTTTGACTGTCTCTAATATTGTGGCCAGACATAATATGTCCTTGGTATCACCTCCACCCATATACTTGATGAGTAGCTCCAGACTCTCCTGCACCGTGGAAACCAGGCGTGCAGGGGACCAAGGCACCACAGCTTCTGCAGAAGCAAGTGAAAGATCTTCTCCATGAGCACCCGACAGGCTCGGGCCGCCATGCTGGTTAAACTGTAGCGAATCCGAATTCTGGCGGACAGCAGACTGAATATAGTAACAGACGCTCAGTGAGCAATAGATGATATCTGGCTTTAGAATTTGATGATACATCTCTGCCACGACATGGAATTGGGGCTGTGTTGGATCCAACTCATCAAGGTATTTCAATATCACCATCGAGGACTTCAAAAATGACCGTGATATTTCTGCTGGGACATCTGCGGCACCAAGCGCCAGAGGACGGTAGAGCGCTAGAAGCGGCCGTCTCACATGCATATCGAGAATCACGCGGCTTCTCCATTGCTTGCTTTTCTGCGCGGCGCTATAAGATCCTTGTCGTGGATATATATGATTTATGTCATCAAGAAAACGCTCCAACTTTGTTCCGATGTCCAAGACTTCTGAATAGTCGCGGATGGAATCGATCCGATTAACAAGAGGCGCCACTTTCATGCGAGCCGCCAGTGTTATAGCGGCATATACCTGCATTTGATTATCGGTCACCTGATCAATTGGTCGCATAGGAGGGAGTTCCTGCATTCCTGGAAACAGTTCAGAGTCATTGAGATTTCGTGGTGGCTTGCAGGTGAAGTCCCCATCACGAAGCAGAGAAGGCATATTGCAGGCTATCGACATGTGCAGGTCCATGTCTGCCAAGGTAAACCACAGCCTCCGGCGTATCTCTCCCCAGAAGACCGGGATCCGTTGGTCGCTCTCAGAAGGATCTCGATGCATACCCATGCTCATCGCAAGCCGTAAGACATACCCGAGCTTGTTCCACGAGTCTTGTAGTCGAGGCGTGATCATTCTTGATGCATGTATCAGTAAAACTTGTACTTGGACAGTACTGATGTCGACCAGCTGCTTTCCTTTAAGACTATCAAGCCAGCTTTGTACCAGAGCACACGCAGTTGGAATATGAACTCCCTCACTGCGTTCGTGGCCCATTCCTCTCGACTTTGTCTCGAACCGAGAGGCAACGGATAAGACGCAAAGCAGTTGTGGCAAGAAGAACTCAGCCTGCATTTTACCATCCCAATACGCGTTGTATGCGTCGTAAAAACTTCTCGTATGGAGAATTCTGTAAATCGACTCTGAGGTATCAAAATACACGGTGACAAGTTGGTCGCATATATCCTTTTTGGGGAGGATATCTGTCATGCGCTTCTGCACCGGCATCATGGAATCGACAAATACCGTGATTGGTTTCAAAGCAAGGTGTAGCTCATCTTGCCGATGTTTATGTAACAAGCCAAAGCGCCTCAATAGGTCATCCGAAGCGTGACTTTGATGGTGCCCCATTAAGTACGCTCGTGCCTCGGGAAACTAACGCGAGGAGAAGGAGGCCAGAGTTAGTAATTTGGATTACACGTCAACCATGCAGAATGTCTGCAGGGGGGAGATAACGCAAAGGGCCACCTACCACATTGAGCATCACCCGTGGGCTGTGTTGGCCAAAGAATCGAGTCGATGTACCACCACGTTTGACTGTTAGTCCCCTGACAGTATCGGTGGCAGCATACAAAATCCTGCCGCCGCTGGTGTCTGTCAGTGCAGGGCTACGGCCTTGCATATGCCTTTCTAGCCGGTCCATCCGCAAAGTCAATTCCTCAAGCATCGGCATGCCGGGCGATCCGCCATTCTTGACAGGCGTTGTTGCGATTTCATTGCTTGAAACATTGTTCGAATTGGTTGTACCAGGAGGGCAGCTTCGTTTATTAGGGCGATTCGTATCTACGAGTTCAGTGTCAGAGCCGTCTGACAGGTTTGCCGGGTCGTGGTCGGCCGCATATTTACAAATGCGGCTGGATTTCTGACACTGGGAGCAAGGTAGAAGTCGATCGCATCGCAATTTACGTTTTCGACATTCGGTACAAGACTTGACTGGCCTTGGTCGCTTTACACTCCTTTGCTGTTGTGATTGTTGTTGTTGTTGTTGGTGGTGGTGGTGTTGCTGCTGTTGCTGCTGTGATATTCCTAGTGGCTGGGCACTGATTCCCTGAGGAGGCGTATGAGCGATATGCTGCTGCGGCGGTGTTCGCAATAGTTGTGTTGAGGCGTTGTCAAACGAGCTGGTACTAGGGCCCACCGACAGCGGTTGATGAAGTATAGATGCTGCTCCAGCACCATCCGCCGGTGTCGGAAATGAATGCATCGTAGTGGAAATATTTGCGCTTTTAGATGACAAATGCCGCTCTCATGCGAAATCGAAGATGGGTCGTATTCGGGGAGTGGGATGAGGTCGATTTGCAGGTGTCGGATATTGCAGTCGTGGGGGCAAAACGCGGGTCATTGTCATCCGGACAGGTTCTGCAATTCGGTATGCAAGCAAGAAAAAAGATGAAGGAGAAAGGGCTAGAACAGAGCAGCAGAGTAGCCAGGCAAATCAAGGAGTGGTGCAGGGCCGAGTCCCCCCACGATGCGTGACAAAAGCACCACGGTCCGCTCGCTGGGTGTTGTTGTTTGGTCCAAAGCTTCGTCAATTCACTCGGCCAAGCCTTTTACTCCGCTGGATTTGAGATGCTCGTGAAATCTGGCCATGCTCGAGGAACAGACGTCAAGTGTGCGTCCGTATGAGAAGAGATTGAAGCGCAGCACAGGGAACTGGCAAGCGCCGAGTAGGCTTGGGGGCTCGCCAAGTCTGTGCAGATCAGGGTGGCCACACCTCCGGTGGGCTGGATAGAGCCACAGCCGGACAAGGTTCAATTGGGTGCAATTGTTGTCCGGAGTAAGGATCAGCTTCAATGTTTGAGGCGGCTCGAGCTAGGACCGAGGAAACAAGCACAACATTGAAACTTTGTAAAAGGCTCCGGATAACGCATTACCGTCTTGTCGGCCGAGAGAGCAAAGCGGCCGATATGGCGATGCACGCGCGGAGTCCTCGCACAACAGACGGCCGCAGCCAACATGCGTCCGGAAGCCCAACAGTATGAAGATGGGGGGAGGAGGATAGAATTAGTTCAAAGGGCTAGGGTGGACAAGGATCGCAGAACAAAGCCGGTCATCAGGCTGCAGCTGCAGGTTGTCGGAAGCAATTCCCAAGCAGGGAAAGTGAAAAGTGGGCTCTGATGGATGTGGCTTTTGGGAATGGGTCAAGGTCAAGAGAGGAGAGCGTCCCGTTGAACAGGATTGTTGGAAGTGTTCGGAGTACTAGTATTAGTACATGTACATGCTGGAGTGCGTACAATAATACTGGAGTCGACACATGAGATAACGGGGTCGCAAGGCAGGCGCGGTGCGTAGTGCGTTTGTCAAGTACCTGGCAAACTGGCAATGGCAAATGGCTGGCTGCTCTGCTGCTCTGGTGTGCACTTGCCCAAGTCAGGTCTGGTCTAGTCTCCTGGGGTCCAGTACAGAGTACTTGGTACATAATAATGACAAAAGTCACGCACACAAACCAAAATCCATCACATCACATCGGCCAAGCCAGACCATATTCGCTCTGCGTCGCATTGCTCCGTGCTATCCACTCCATTAGCACCTTGTGTATCCTTCTCCGGTCTTTGGGCATTATACGGAGAAATATAATCAGAGGGCATTTCGTTTTATCCCAGCTTCCTCCTGTCTCTCTCCACTCCTCTCGGGGTGGCCTAAGCTGGTGGGCGGCGTGTGGGTACCAACTGGTGATGAACGGCCGAGAGAATGGAGATTGGAAAACGGGGAGCCGACCTTGATTTTTCTTTGGGGGGCGCGTCGACTGGAGTTCAAAGATTCGGTACGGAGTACATAACCAACACATGTAGGTAGGCGCCCAGGGACGTATCGCACCCGTTTCTTCTTCGGTATGGGACACCACTGACACCGATGCCCCTTACAAATAGTAGGCTCGAAGCCATCACATAGCCGGTACAGTGGGAGGCAATAAGTATCTGCGACCCCTTGAGTCACTCTACGGCACCGGGTGGTCAAGTAACTACTTATTACCTCTTACTGTACTCCATGGCTACGAGGAGAGGTGAATGGGGTGATCCATGGTCGAATTTGCTGGGACAAAAAGTTCTAAATTACATCGAGGGCCCCCCCCCCCCCCAAAAAAAAAAAAAAAGGGAGGGTTTGCGCAACGCTACGAAGCGCAATAATGACTACATCGTGCCACCTGTCATGTCACTAGCATTTACGACCTGCGCATTTCAGTTTGGGCTGATAAATGACGCGATGGGAGACCATAACATAGTTTCAAGTTTCCACTGCCCAAGTGGTTCCTTACAGACAACCGCGGAGACTTCCATTTCTTAGATGGGCCGTGCACACACACACACGCACACACACAAGAGAGAGAGTGTGAATGAGGGCGGGAGAGAGAAGGGGGCGGAAATGATTCAATACGTGTGCAAGGGACTACCAACAGCCAAGTTGCTAAACCGACCTCAGACACGCCCGCCACTGCTAGCCAAGGTTGCTGTTGAGCTGAGTTTTTTTGGTGTTCCCAAAAAAACATCGGGGGCCCCCCCCCCCCCCCAAAAAAAAAATCATGGAGCGGGTTTGCGCAACGCTACGAAGCGCAATAATGACTACATCGTGCCACCTGTCATGTCACTAGCATTTACGACCTGCGCATTTCAGTTTGGGCTGATAAATGACGCGATGGGAGACCATAACATAGTTTCAAGTTTCCACTGCCCAAGTGGTTCCTTACAGACAACCGCGGAGACTTCCATTTCTTAGATGGGCCGTGCACACACACACACGCACACACACAAGAGAGAGAGTGTGAATGAGGGCGGGAGAGAGAAGGGGGCGGAAATGATTCAATACGTGTGCAAGGGACTACCAACAGCCAAGTTGCTAAACCGACCTCAGACACGCCCGCCACTGCTAGCCAAGGTTGCTGTTGAGCTGAGTTTTTTTGGTGTTCCCAAAGTGCATTTCAAGCGCCATTCCAAACCGAAGCACACATGGTGTCATATTTCCAGCTCATGCAGCCAAGGGACGATTGGTGCTTCTTTCCAACTGAAGAGGGTGCGCGAAGTGGCGGATCCGCGGCCATGATGGCGCTTGTTTCTTTCAAAAACGTATGGCATCGTCTTATCATCGGCAAACTGGCACCGAGTGACCTCAAATGGGAAGTAGTATTACTACTCTACTACTGAGCCCCAGGACTGCACAACCAGCGCCTCGGCCGAATCGGTCGGGGGTTCACCCCTGTTTGAAGATGCATACAGAAAGCCACTAACCGTGGAGTTAGGTCAATGGTGAGAGACACTTGTAGGAGTGTGGCAAATTCCGCATCCTCTCCGGTCACTGTGGAACTTGCAACGCAGGCCATGGGACGTACTCAGGTACTTCTTTGGAATAATACGACGTGTTAGATTCCAAAGGCGCCTCAAGCGCCTTTACGGAATACAGTGTAAGGCAAGAAGTACCTAGGTATTTGCCCACCCCTGCCCTGTATTGCATCAGTTGTATTTGGTATATCCACAAGTATACGGAGTACACCGATGTTCATCCCTTTGACCCTTTGACTGCCTCGAGGTGCCCGCCTTTGTACCAACGACGATTGATAGTACTTTTATTATCACAATAGATAAGTGCATATGCATGTACTTTATTAACTCTTAGTTCTCATCGGGCATCATCCCCGTAAGAGACTTCGCTGGCACCTTGACGCAGTCAAAAGGGATACTGGCCCTGCCGCTCCATGTCTCGGATTATCAAAAGTACCAATCAACCGAGCGAAGACGAGCAGGCAGTCGGTCGGCTCTCGCGCGCTTGGGGCAAGGGTGTCAGTGATGTGTCATCTTTTTCACAGACATTCGATGGCCACACCCTGGCAAGTTACGCCTTGTTGCTCCCCGTGCCCGTCCGTC